CAGTGCCTGGCAAACACAAGGTCTTGAGTTTGATTCCCAGTACCAAAATAAATAAAGACAAAAATAAATAAAATTTATTAAATAAAAGTACATTTGAGGAGACAGGCAAAGTAGAGTACAATATTCCCATCCTCCCAGCCACTAGAAAGACTAAGGAAGTAGCATCATTTGCTCAGAAATTCAAGACTAGCCTGGTAACATAGCAAGACTTGTCTCTAAAGAAACAAAAATAAAAATATTCAATCCCAGGTACCAAAAATCAAAATAAATACACCTCAGTAAGGCTATGGCCGGGCATAATGGCACACACTTATAATCCCAGCTCCTCTGGAGGTTGTGGTAGGAGAATCAGGACAAGCCTGAGTACAAAGTGAGCTCAAGGCCAGCCTGAAGTGTATAGTGAGACCCTGTCTCAAAAAGACAGAAAAAAAAAAAAAAAAAAAAAAAAAAAAGAAAAAAGGCTACTTGATGTTTTGGGATGGTAGTTCACTGGCAGAGCATTTGCCTAGAATGTACAAAGCTCTTGGTTTAATCCTGAGCATTACCAAAAAACAAATGTAAAATTGCAAGTGGTAGGGTACATACTCAGCATATCAGGGTGCTGTTCAATCCACAGCACCAAAACAAGAAATATCACACAACTGATCTTAATTACTACCTGTGGAAGGACAGACATAGATTAGTAACTTCATTTTACAAATGAGGATAAAGCCTCAGGGGGAAAAAACTTCAAATGTCAATCAAGATACTATGATAAATAAGCGCTTGCCTGGTAAGCGCAAGGGCCTGAGTTCAATCCCTGGTTCCGGAAAAAAAAAAAAAGACACTATGATACACTGGACCAAATTTTATTCATTCCAGAATTCTGGAGAAGATGGCCAGACCCTGAATGTGCCTGATCATGTCTGGAATAGATGGTCACGGTTCATGTGGGAAAGATAGCCAAAGTCAGCCATGTTAGACCCCCAATACTGGATTTGCAAGCAGGAACTGCAAAAAACAAAATTTTGCCGCAACACTGTATATCAACCTGTCCATAAACAAAAGTGTTCATGAATCAAGATACCACTGAAAAATGACATTATTCTGTTCCAGCCATTCTACCAATACTCTTAAGAGACCCAATGCCTTATTTTTGTTCCTTTGAGCAAATCATCAAACTTACCAGATAAAAAGGGGAACGAGGTGGTGGTGGGGGCTGGCGTCGAGGCCGGGGGCCACTGAACGAGGTAGAGGTGGAGGGTGGGCTGGGGGGACCAGAGCGCAATGTCAGTGTCTCAGGTTCATCCTTAGGAACAGACAGCCGGTTTACCATGGTGATAGGCAAGGAAGCAGTGCCAGATGCTGAAACCACAAGGGAAGATGCTTGGGAAGCTGGGGCCTGTGTTGAAGCTGGTGCCAGTGCCAAGGTCTGAGTAGCAGATGGACCGAGGGTAGGCACAGGAACTGGAGCTGGACTCAAAGTCAGTGAATGCACTGAAGCCGGGGCCAGGAGTGAAGCAGGTGATGATGCTGGAGCCAAAGTCAGCGCGTGAGCTGGGGAAGGACCCATAGGAGAAGCCGGAGCTAGAGACAGCGTCTGAGTTGGACCCAGTGATGCTCCTGATGCCAAAGACAGTGTCTGGCCTGGAGTTGGTACCAGAGATGATGATGGAGTCAATGACAATGTCTGAGTTGGAAAGGACCCCTGAGGGTTCCCAGTTCCCAGAGAGTGTGTATGAGATGGAGACGAGCCACCAAGAGTAGATGCTAAAGCTGGGGCTAGGGCCAGTGTCTGTGTAGAAGCCAGGCTTGAAAGAGGTGATGGAATTGGGCCTGGCACCATGGTCTGAGTTGATGATGTAGCCAACACAGGAGCTGGAGCTGGTACCAATGAAGATGAGGCTAAAGGGGATCCTGGAGTCACTGATGGAGCCATAACTGGAACTGGAGTCTGCGATGGAGCCAGAACAGGAGCAGGACCTGGCGATGGAGCCAGGACAGGAAGGGGAGCCAGAGGAGCCGCAGAAGGACTTAGGATTGCTGTTTGTGGAGCCGCCATAGGAGCCAAAGAGGTGGCCAAAGCCTGGGATGCAGACGGTGCTGGAGCAAGAATGGACGCCTGAGCTGGAGCTGGATTTGGCGCCGCTGGAAAAGGACTGGCCAGAGCGGAAGCTGGCACGAGGACAGGTGAACATGCTGGGGCCACAGCTGAATTCAACCCTGGAACATGGGAAGAGGTGGGAGCCAACAATAGAGGGTGACCAGGTGTCTGAGATGGGGATAGGGCTGGAGCAGTGGCCAATCCTAGAGTCAATGCTGACGCTGGTGGGGAAGCCCCAGCTGGCACCAAAGAGGGTTGTCCATGAGCTGCCGAGACAACAGGTGCCAGTGCAGGAGTCACATTGGTCAACAGAGTTGGGCCTGAGGCCGAAACAGGCAAAGGGGCTGAAATGGGGATGGTTAGTGCTGCTGAGACAGGAACAGGAGGTGTGGTGGGGACAGAGATGGAGAGTGAAGATGACACTGGGACTGAGACAGTAGAGGACACAGGACTAGCAAGGGGAGAGGAGTTGAAAATAGGCATTGGAGAAGAGGGTGGCCCAGGGAGCGAGGATGGCACATGGAGAGAAGAAGAGATGGTCATAGGAGCAGGTCCAGGCACTGAAGCTGTGGAGACAGAAGATGGGTTAGCTTCATTATGTTCTTGATGCTGATCCTTCTATCCCCATCATACCCATCATCTCACTCTCATGCTTCCCCTATTTTTTAGAAACCCCTTTACCTCCAAAACATAAGCTCAAAAATTCAAAGAACAGGTTAATTTAAAATTTCCTTCTCCAAAATTCCAACAATGTATGTTGGAATTAGGTCAGGACTTGGGCAGCTCACTTCTCGGGGCCCAGTGCAAATAAAGAGTAGTTTGATGAAAAACAGATTTATTGTGACTGAGAAACCTTCACAGATACCCCATTTCCAAACCTGGCAAAAGTTTCTGGCTTCAGCCATCTGGACTCACCACTGACTTCAGGCGAAGGACTGTGGACCAGCTTGAGAAGGGGCCTCACCAGAGTGGGCGTGGGCATGGGTGCACGAGCAGTGCCCAGAGTAGATGTGGGTAGCCGGCCAGGGGTTAACGTGGGGCGTGGAGTCAACACAGCTGGAAGCCCAGAGCTTGGGGTCCGGGGTGCTGATGCCAGAGGTGGAACAGGAGTCAGTCCATCCCGTGGGGCCTGTCTCACTACAATCTTCACCACGCCTGTATTATTCACCATAGATGGTGGCACTGTAAGAGGAAGCTACACTGAGGGCAAGGTAGAAGAGAAACAAGAGACCCAAAGGACAGAGGAAGTCCAGAAGCAGGACAAGGGGGCAAACAGATACTGGAGATATGGACAATAGAAACCACCACGGAGAACAAGTTGGACAGAAAACTGCCCAGGGCATGCCTGGAAAGACCAAGGCCAGTAGGACTAAGTAAGTAGGAAGGCCAGGAGCCTCACCCTGGTTAGCAGCAAGCGGAAGGCTGAGGCCAGTGGGGGCGGGGGTGGTGCTGGGGGTCGAAGAAGGCAGCACAGAGACAGGGGTGGGGCCAGGGGTCGGGGCCACGGCCTGGATGAGGGCCACATGGGCAGGCTGGCTGATGAGGTGGTGCTGCCCCCCTGCTGACACCAGGTGCACCACATTCCCTGGGTTAAGGGAAGAGAAAGAGAGAAAAGCAGCTATCAGCTGGAGAAGGCCAGAGGCAAGAGCAAGACAGGAAAGGATAGAGAGGAGGTAATATCTCTACAATGACTTTTCCCTATTTTTAACCAAAAGACACCTTTCCCTTTGGGCCCACCCACCAAAGCTAAAAAGAAACATAAAGGCTAACATCTAGAAAGAGTTACAAAAACAAGATGACAGGAAAAAGAGGAAAAAGGCAGGACAGGGGGTGGGTTTTACCTACTTTGCAGCGGGCGGGGCTGCCCCACAGCAAGCTGGCGCACCTGGGCACCAGTCAGAGTCAGCTTGTTGCCCTGGATTTGGAAGGTGAGAGGTTTGCTTCCCCCAGCACTTGCCATTGGACGTTGTGCCAGTGAGGCCAACTGCCCGATGCTGACCACTTCACCTGCTACAGAGAAGGCCTTATTGCACACACAGCTCACCCTGTCATAGACTTCTCAGACGTCCAACAAAACACATAATTCTCCCCCACATCTCCAGTTCCTCCAGGCCATCCCCACAGTTTACCATGTCTCAATATGTAAAACCTCCACCTACTGCCTTTGAGCTTCTGATGTGCTGGTTATCTAATCCCATTTCACTGACTAGCAGTCTCCTACATTCTCTAAGGACCCACAGCCAGACTGAGCTAATCACCATCTCTCTTCGGCCCTTTTACCCCAACTACTTTTTTCTGCACAGTGCTGGGGATTCAACTCAAATCTTGGGCATGCTATACAAGCACTGCATTACCGAGCTGTTATCACCAATCTTTCAAATGCTTTTTTGTTGCTAGGCTTACCATTATTTACTCATCTGTGAGTTACCTGCCCTACTACTCTGCACCTTGATAGCTCTTTACTCAACTATGGCACAACACTTTCTATATTATTATCTCCCTAGAACTGCACATCCTCATGTCCTTTTTCTTGTTTGGCTTAATTTACTAGCTTTCCCCCATCTCAAGACCTTCACCCCAAGTCCCTGGCCTAGGAACTTACAGGGCAGGCGAGCTTGCATATCAGGAGACAAAATGAGGCGCTGTGGTGCAGGAGTTGGAGCTGACACTGCTGTGGTAGGAGCAGTTGCTGTGGTGCCAGAGGTGCTGGTAGAACCAGAAGGGGAGAAAGTATATCCTGGTGGCACTGTCAGGGGCTTCAATAGGCTAGAGGACCCTGGAGGTGGGGCTGGGCTCAAACGAACTGGGGCAGGTGGGGCTGGCTTCAAAGATAGGGTTGGCGTAGGAGGCCGTGAGGTCCCACTCAGGACTCCCAGGGAAGATGGCAACACTGTAGACACAAACCAAATACCTGTCAGATATACTCTGATGAACTCCTTAGTCTGGTCCCAGAACTCTCGATGTTCCCCATTCCAGCCTAGCCAATACCACACCCCACCAGCTCCTCAAACTTTTAGTGTTACTTTCTCCCTAGTTTGAACAACCTTCCCATCACTGTTAGCTCCCTTTCAACTCACCCTGGGGGAGAGAACCACTGTTTGGCTGCAAGGGAGGCAAGAGAACAGGTCCAGGGGGCCGGGATGCAGGAACAAGTGGGGGCCCGGCAGGTGAGGCTGACACCATCAGTGGTGCTGGCAACACTGGGGGGGTTGGGCCAGGGATGGGCTGGGCTGAGAGCTCAGGACCTGGAGGGGGTCGGACTGGGACAGGGCCAAGGGGCGTCCGGGGGCTGTTCACAACCACCACTGTGCGGCCTTCTTGCTTGGGCACTGGCTGCAGCATCCTATGAGGAAAAACCAAGTAGGTAGGTAGAAGGGGAAGGAGAATAAGGAACAGCAAAAGAAAGGAAGAAGGAAATGAGGTACAAAGAAATTTTAAAAGGAAAATAGAGGAAATAGCCAAGACCCAAAGAGAAAGAGGGAAAAATACCTAAGAAAATCAAGACAGTATCAAGCTAAGCAAGGGGAAACAAAATATCAGGAACACAGGAGCCCATCCCAATACCTCTTCTTATTCTCTTCCTTAATTCCTCCAAAGTGTTTTGCCCCCATCCCATACAAACACTCTAACCTAGCCTCCAACTCTTTCTTCTCCACCCCAATCCCTTTCAGTGAGCTGTAGCAATTCTTTCTAGGCGACCATCCCCTTAAAACTTAGTCCTGGTACCTGTTGACCTTCATCTTGACTGGCTTGGGCCGGGGTGGAGGATCAGGAGCAGTAGCCACCTCTAGTAGTACCCGGCGAGAGAGACGGTGCCGGGGCAAAAATATGTCAGCCTCATATCGAGACACACGACCTTCCAGGCCAACAAGGTCAAAGCGACCCATGTCTATCCGCTGCAAAAAGGAGGAACACAAAGCACGAAGTCAAGGAAACAACACGGCAATGACTTCTTGGGTTTGACATAAAAACTACAGGCAACAAGAGAAAAAATTCAAAAGTTGAACATCAAAATTTAAAAACATTTTTTTGGTTGTTTTTGTCTTTCAATTTAGGGTCTCACTATGTATACAGTTGAGATTGGCCTTCTAGGCTGGCCTCAAACTCTCCACCAATCTTTCTATCTCACCCTCCCAAGATTACAGATGTCCACCACAATATTCAGCTAAATCTAAAAAGGTGAACATCAATGTATACCATCAATATGGTAAAAAGGCTACCTATTGAGTGGGTAAAATATTTGAATAAGAAAAAAATTACAGGGCCAAGAAGATGGCTCAGTGGAATAAGCGCTTCCCTGGCAAGTGCAAGGGTCTGAGTCCAATCCCCGGGCCCGCCAAAAATAAAAATAAAAATAAAAAATTACAACTAAACAACAACAAAAACATGCTTTCAAGTTTAAAAAAAAAAAAGAGAGATCAGAAGCTGGGCAACCTGGCTGACATCTGTAATCGCAGCACTCAGGAGATGATGGCAGGAGGACTGTCTAAAATTCAAGACGAACCTGAACTACATAGTGAAACCCTGTCTTAAAAAAAAAAAAAATCATAATAATAATCAATAAAAGTCTTAAAACATTTCACCAAAGAATATATAATGGCCAAAGAGCACAAGGAAATATGATAAACATTAGAGAAATGGAAATCACAACCATAATGAAATACCACTTCATACATGTAACTCTGGCTCTTACTCCTCCCCCAAAAAAAGCTCTGAAAACAAGGAAAAATTGGAACCCTGAGGCTAGGGAGATAGCTCAGTAGAATAAGCGTTTGCCTGGCAAGCACAAGGTTAAAAAAAAAAAAAAAAAAAAAAAAAAAAATGGAACCGTGTATATACTACTGGTGTAAATATAAAATGTGCAGTTAAAAATAGTGAACCAGGGATATGGCTCAGTGGCAGAGCACCCTGCTTGGCAAGCACAAAGTTTTTTGTTTGTTTGTTTTTTTGGCGGTACTGGGGATTGAACTCAGGAACCTGCGCTTATGAGGCAAGCACTTATTCTACTAAGCTATCTCCCTGGGCCCACAAGCACAAGGTTTTGAGTTCGATCCCTGTACTGAGAAAAAAGAAAAAAGAAAAAAAAAAAGGCAAGAATAGAACACTAATGCAGTTTCTCAAAAGGTAGAAAAAGAACTCTCATATGATAAATCAATTCCACTTTTAAGCATATACCCAGAAAGTAGGAATTCAAAGAGGTATCTGGATATCCATGATCATAGCACTATTCACAACAGCCAAAAGGTAGACGCGAACTAAAAAAAAAAAAGAAACCCAAACCAACAGTAACAAAAACAGGCAGGTGTGGTGAGGCACACCTGCAGTCCCAGGACTCAGGAAGACAGCTTTGAGTTTGAGGCCAGCCTGGGCTACATAATGAGTTCAAGACCAGCCTGGACTACACAACAGGACAGTCTCAAAAGACTACAAACCCAAATATATGCCATTATGTAACTGGATAAGCAAAATACAGTACATATCCACACAGTGGAGTATCATTCAGTTTTAAAGAAAATTTCACACAGGTTATAACACAGATGAACCTTGGAAATGTTGTATGAAGTGAAATAAGCCATTCACAAAGGGATAAGTACTTTGACTCTGTTTCTATCAAGTATCCAGAATAGTCAAGTTCATAAAAGCAAAAGAATGGCTGGGTATGCTGACGCCTATAATCCTAGCACTCAGCTGAGGAAGGAGGATCACTGTGAGTTTAAAACAAGGCTGGGTTACAAAGTGGGCTCAAGATCAGCCTGAACTGCACAAGAAAGAAAAAGAAAGAAAATAAATAGAAGAAAGAGGCTGAAGGTCGGCCAGATAGCTCAGCAGATTAAAGCACTTGCTTAGGCAAGACACAGGGACAGTTTGGACAGGTGTGCCAAGCCAGCCCCACCCCCAGGGCATGCTGAGCTGATTGAGACTGGGTGTGGTGGCACACCCCTGTAATCCCAGCACTTGGGAGGCTGAAAACAGGAGAATCACTGTAAATCCGATCGGTGTATCGAAACCCTTGTAGACCCTGTATTAAACACATTTTAAAAAAAGAAAAGCTGGGAGAAAGAATTGACAGTTATGGAATTACAAGGTGGAAAAATGAAAGCACAGCAGTTCTGGAGATGGATAGCTGTAATCAGTGCACAACAATGCAAATGTACTTAACCCCACCCAAGTATACACTTGGAAACTGTTGAAGGGAGGCCAGTCATGGTAGCACGTATCTATAATCCCAGCAATCAGGAAGCTAAGACATGAGGATCACTGCACATTCAAATCCAGCCTGGGCTACAAGGTGAATTCAAGGCCAACCTGAATTGCAGAGCAAAACCCTGTCTTAAAAACACAAAACGGGGTTGGGGGAGATAGCTCGGCAGCATAAGCACCTGCCTGGCAAGTGCCAGGTCCTGAGTTCGATCCCTGGTACCGCATGCTGGTAATCTCAGCACTAGGAAGGCTAAAACAGAAGATCACACTGGGCCAGTATAATGAGCATTTCCCTGGCAAGTGCAAGGGCCTGAGTTTAATCCCTGATTCCACAAAAAAAAAAAAAAAAAAAAAAAAGACAGGATGACTAAAGAATCCAAATTGTGTAGTAAGACCCTGTATTTAAAAAAAAAAAGCAGAGTAAAAAAAATTTTAAAAGCTCCAGTGGCGCAATCAGTTATCATGCGATATAGATAAGATAGACAGATAGATAGATAGCCAGGGATATAGCTCAGCAGCACAATGCCTGCCTGAGCAAGCATGAGGTCCTGAGTTCAAATTAATGGTACCAAAAAACAGAACAAAACTGTCTTGCACATATACAGTTCAGGTTGCCCATGAACTCACTAGGCAGCCAAGACTGGCCTCACACTTGCAGCAATCCTCCTGCCACAGCCTTCCAAGTGCTGGGATTACAGGTGTGCACTACCACACCCAACTCAAAAAATACGCTTTTTACTCTTGGTTTGGCAGAGGCTGGGGATTTAACTCAGAGGTAGAATACATGGCTTTAACAAGCTGGAAGCCCTGGTTTCAGTCCTCATCACAAAATAAACAGAAATAAACCTCAACTAAAAAATAAAACAAAACAAAACAAAAAAGGTTCCTGGTTTGACAAAGAAACCTAGGATTACAAATTAATAAACTGGGGCCAGGGAGATGGCTCAGTGGAATAAGCACTGCCTGGCAAGGGCAGGGACCTGAGTTCAATCCCCGGTTCTGCCAAAAAAAAAAAATAATAAACTTTCCAAATCACATGCCTAGAAAACAGTAATACTAGAACAGTACTGAAGGATGAAACAAAAAAAAGTAGTAGTCACAAAAGGTCAGGTTCAAAAGATGAGTGGGGGAGGGAAGAGGCTTGAGGTCTCTTGGGGAGTGACCACTTACCTGGAGTGGGTGGGTATCTGTAGCACTCAGCACCAAAGAGGCAGTGCTGAAGCAGATGCCTGGGGTAATGAAAGGGGAAGTAACAGGTCGAGGGTCAAAAAGATTTGGATGATTGCAGACTTTCCGCAACTGCATCAAAATGTTGATGACACTCATGAAATGGCCTGTAGCTAACGTCTCCTTGGTTCTGGAGAGAGAAGAAAAATAAATCAATTATTCTGACAACCACCTTTACTTCAGTCCAGAGCCTACCCTCCACCTTCCCTTACGTAGTCTGTGCCATGAAGTCATCATAGAGATAGCGCTGGCGCTTGGAGAGCCGGCAGCGGATTACATGCTCATACTTTTTGGGCATTTGTTTCTCAACATCTACCTTAACTCGACGCAACAAAAAAGGCCGCAAAACCTAAAAACAAAGAAACAACAGGTTATCTGGAGTCCCAACTTAGCCCTTCTAGCTAGGCCTAGGCTCAGTGACTGGCTGAGAAGTAAACAATCATAGTTATAAGGTATGCCAGATACCAACCACACCAAGGTAAGTCAGGTAAGGCTCAGGATACTGTGGTTTGACCCCCAGATCCTCATGCCCTAAGGCCTGCCCTTAAGGCATCCTGAGCCAGCCCAAAAAAAAAAAAAAAA